CGTCTGTGTTTCTCCTATTGAAACTAAGACCATTGTTTTCACTTTCCGTTACAATTATTTCTATCATTTCTTGCAGTTGTGTTTCATTTTCATCGAACAAAACTATATTGTCAGAATATCACAGGTTAACAATATGCCCACCAAATGATATTCCTGGCATACCATATATGGATTTAATTATTATCTATATTAATAATCACGTAAGATTCCGTTGGTTGTAATAGCTAATTTCCTAAAGTTCTTCACTGATTGCTTTCAAATTTTTACGTTGTATTTGACTGCGCGCTTGTTGATATGTAAGAGTGTGGCACAAAAGACGAACAACCTAGCTACAGCAACGCTCAATCCGGTTTTGTTTTGTTGCAGGCCCGGAATTGTTTTTAGTTCCTCTGGTAGGCGTCCTTTGATTGTTGACCTGAGAACTCTGCGTGAAGCTACGCCCAAAGGTCTTCACCGATTACTTTGAAAATGTAACACACAGTTGAATTCAATACGCTCGTAATTTTATATAAGAGTGTTGCACAAAGCATGAACTACATAGCTCCAGCGACGATCACGTCAGCATCTTGGTTTTGCAAGTTATTATTTACCCTGATGAGCCTGTTTTTTTTTTAACTGTTAACCTCAGAAATCTGCATGAAGCTGGTCGGTATGGTATCCAAGAGGTATTGACAGAGTGCATTAAAATGTCTGAGTCCTAAAAATACAGTTTAAACAACCACTCCTGTAAAGACACTTTTATGCTGCGTATTCTAGAGTCGGCATATCAGACTATCTTTATATCTGCGCAGACAACATTTATGATAATAACCAAATTAGACACGTTTTTTTCTTTTCCATTTCGATAGACAGATCAAAGCGTGGCGGGTACTGCTAGTTTTACTTTACAGATTGAATAAATCAGGCGATAGTACATATCCATGTCTAACGCCTTGTTTAACTCTTTGAGTCCCAAGAAACACATCATACGTTCATAGGTTACTGCCTAGAAGTCCAATGAACGCATGATGCGCCGATTTTAGTCTCTACCCCTTGGGCCTGTGATGCTAAACCCCCTGAGACTCAAGGAGTTAATATTTTGAAAAGTTTCAACTTGGTTTCAATCCTGCTATATAAAACGTCTAAAATATTGCTTCACAATATGAGATGGTTGTCTCAATTGAGTCATGAAACCGCGTAAAGAATTTCCAGTTGTCCGCTTATTTAGTATTAATCACGGAAGAGAGCTTCTAGTATATATATATATATATATATATATATATATATATATATATATATATATATATATATATATATAAATATAAATAATGTAAGTTTTAACCGCTCCAAAAACTACTGTGTTTAAATTTTGCCAAAGTTATTTATACATTCTTACAAAAATGCTTAAGATATATATATATATATATATATATATATATATATATATATATATATATATATATATATATATATAGAGAGAGAGAGAGAGAGAGAGAAAATGAGACAGAGAGAGTGAGAATCTATTGTTTGGTTTATACATGTTATATAATATGCATCATTGGTGCTTTTATGTTGTACATACTTTACATAATAATGTGTTTATGCGAGAATAGAATAATTCTTTCAATGTACATATGTAGTATACTGGGTTAGACTCTATTCTTTAGTTTATACAGGTGATAAAATAATTCATTGGGTGTTTATGGTTGTGTACGTGTGATGGGATTGATTGTATAGCTTTACAAGTGAAAGAATATAAATTATTATGAGTGTTTAAATAGTGTACGATTGACAGAACCTGTTTACTTTATTAATGTGATGTAATATTCTATAGTAAAATTAACACTTCGATGAGGTGGGAGAGAAGAAGGAGAGGTAAAATTGACATAATATATTGTGTAGGTTATATAATAATATAAGTATGCCGAATTGTTTCACTGGACTTTGTATATAATAAATGAGTGTTGTAATTTCGAACTCCAACCAGGAGAGAAAGAAGGTAAAGAAAACTTGGGGAGTAATCAATAAAGAAGCAAAGTAAATAAAGACACTATGGTACAAGAATAACAGGGACATGATAACAGTGATCTGATCATGTAACCGGTAGAATGTTAGCCCTGGGTCAGTTGTGTGATAGAGAATGTGTTGACCAACAGACTGTTTACGCTTCTCTTCTAGCATACACGTGGGGATCTTTCACGTCATTCCTGAAGAAAGCCAACTGGGATCTGTTGTTCGACGTCAACAACTTCAAGTGGACACCGTCTGGGACCTGGGATACAACAAACTTGGAACAGCTTCTCAATGACTCATCGGCTAAAGGGATCAATATTTCACACTTCCAGTTAGGCAATGGTAATATACAATTACACTGTAGTTAGTTAGTTGACATATTCTGTTGCAAATTAAACCATTCAGTTATTATTCAGGTTATGTTTTGGTCTGCAACTTTCCCCCTTTGTTTAACGCTCTTCTTTGACATCGCTTCCTTTGATGTGCCAAGCTTGTAATCTAGTTACGGCTGCAGATGTGATTATTGCTGGATTCATGTAATTGTCCAATCTATTTGAGATCATTCTATATATGAGCTGGGTATAACTCTCACACCGACCACCAAGCTTATCTGTTTCTTGTTTTAATCCTAAACCCTTATGACATTGCACAAATTGGTGCCGATGTTTGCAACCGTGATCTCTTTAAAGCTCCCAGCCATTTTTTTTTTTTTAATTTTTAAATTTTTTTTTTTGTTGCTCTATCTTAAATATGACTATATTTTACAAGATCGTTAATTTTTTTTAAAATATTTATTCATTATATTCTTTCTCTTTACATATTAGGTTTTTAAATTAGGTATATTAGGTTTCATTTTTTTCCCGTATAATCTTTAATCGCATTTGGTTAAATTTATACTTTTCCTTTTTACCAGACGATAGTATTACACTGTATTATGAGGAGGCGTGAGACTCACAGCCCATGGCGATGACGAGTGTGACTAGCAAGCTCCGCCCACCTTAACAAAAGCTTCCCTCATTTAAAACATGGGATTACAAGACCGGTGTTGTCAACACTTGTATTTAGTTTGTTTTTTCTCAGAGCTCAGCCCTCATCCTTTCTGCAGTCATTTCGTTCTTGACTCTCATGCTCTTCTGGCTGTGACGGTCCCCTGCATTTGGTTCACACCAGTCCACCTCAATACATGTATCAGTCATATCCCGTTTGCACACATCTTTCAATTCCAGTAGAGGTCGGCCTCAATATCTTCTACTCAAATTTTAATTTACCATAGAGGATGTCCTTAGGTACTCTGCTATTCTCCCTTCTTCAGATATGACCTAGACACCTGTGTCTTCGTAGACATAGCATTAAGGAAATTGTTTTAATACCTGCTCTTTTCAATACTTTAGTGTTTGTGATCCTGCCCTGCCGCTTGTGCCAAGTATTTTTCTTTAGTATCCTATGTGAAAGATAATTAGCCATTTCTCCTATTGTGAATAAGTTGACCAATATCCACTACTATAAAGCAGAGTGTTGAGAACACAAACATAATAGGCGAGTTTTTGTTTTAATTGTGCGCTTTCTATTCTCCCACATTTTTGGGGATGATAATTTGCTCATTGTTGTTGCTGCCTTACCTATTCTAGTGTTGATCTTCTGGTCCTACAATAGTTTGTTATTCAAGGTGGATCCCAGGTATGTAAAACTGTCAACTTTCTCCAGCCCTTCACCATCAATGTAGACTGCAGGTCTATCATTAACACCTTGCACCATAACTTTTGTTTTCTTTTTGCTGATTGTTAGTCCAAATTCACAGCATGCATCAGCAAATGCAGAAAGCAAACATCGCAGCTCCTCCTTTGAGTGGATAGTAATTGCTGCATCATCTGCAAACGTCCGCTCTTTGATAAGTTCCTGTCTTTTCCTGTTTATTTATATCTACTTTAATAATCACCATTTATACTCCTGAGCAATCGCAGAAAGAGACAAAGCACACATAGAATTATCATTGGAGCATTTGAGCTGGCACTTTTATAATCCACTAGGTAGATGTGTAATTTGATCTTGGTTTCTGGTTTGAACCAGCCTAATGCGGCCACAGAGAATATAAAAGCAAGTGAAGACATTTGATGGCACGCTATCCCCTCGATTTATCAATTGCCAGGTGTTCTATACAAATATGGTTTTGGAACCTGTTCCTCAGGCGCCAGGGACACGAAAGGGTCTTTCAACATGTACTTTCTGCATGCAACCTAATATTTAAGATTCAAGATTTAAGAACTGCCTCGCATCACTCAGGGCATTTCCATAGACACCCCGTTCCTATCTTCAGCATCTAGTACATATACATAGTTAATTGTGTATATTATAATCTTTATCACTATAATTTACTTGACAGTATTTAAATGCTTTAATCAGCTTCTTTCATTAGATTTCTCTCACATGGCTTTATCTCTCTCTGCCGATCGGCTTGAAGATCTACAAAGTGTCGCAACTCTGCTCAAGCGACGATCCACAAGTATCTCTGGTTAGTTCTTAGTCGGAAGGAGAGCAAGGGGAACTCAAAGAGATAAATAGCTGAAGTAGTTAGCCAAATAGATGAGAGTGAGACAAGAACATAGATTTGATCCTCCCTTTTTGTGATCGCGGGAGACGGTAAAACAGGAAAGCCTATGCTTACCTGCACGGCGTATCATATAGATATAAATGTGTTCTTGTATGTGTGTTATGTGTGTGTCTATAAGGCGTATGACGCTATAATCATTTTTGTATAGACCACTCAGACGGTAATATGGTAAACATCACAGAGGGCGCCTTTAATTTCCAGGACATTGCCTGTACCCACCTTTTAACCTAGGTCTAACTGGAAGCCGAGGTCAAATTAATAGGGGGGGGGGCGGTGTGGGGGGGGGGACGGGGGCTTTGGGAGGGGGAATTCCTCTAGAAAAAAAACTGAGGCTGGCACACTAACTCCTGAGTTCGTCCGAGAAGCATAATTGTTAGCTATCCAAATGTTTTCTTGACAGAGCCAAATGCTTACAAGGGCAACTTCGGCTTTACCATTGAAGCCGAAACTCTGGCCGCTAACTTCAAGACACTGAAGGCAGTTATCTCCAAATATCCGCTGTATGCGTCCAGCAAAATTTGCGGCCCTGATGTTGCTAATGTCGAATTCACTGGCGATTCAGTGGGCTATTTAACACGGTAAGTTGAGTAACATGTGATTACTGATGATCACTTAACTGATGATTACTTAACTGATGATCACTTAATTGATGATCACTTAACTGATGATCACTTAACTGATGATCACTTAACTGATGTTCACTTAACTGATGATCACTTAATTGATGATCACTTAACTGATGATCACGGAACCGATGATCACTTAATTGATGATCACTTAACTGATGATCACGGAACTGATGATCACTTAATTGATGATCACTTAACTGATGATCACTTAACTGATGATCACTTAACTGATGATCACTTAACTGATGATCACTTAACTGATGATCACTTAACTGATGATCACTTAATTGATGATCACTTAATTGATGATCACTTAACTGATGATCACTTAACTGATGATCACTTAACTGATTTCAGAACAGCCATTATCGCATAAATGCATCCATAATAACGCTCCGTTTTTCGCACCAAGAGACGCAGGGTTAACACGCTGACTGCTCTAGTAGCACGATTGTTGTAGACACGTCATACGTCTTTTTCATTTAGCCATGGAGTGATGGTTGGGTCATTGTTTAGGACTTACACCAAGGCCACGATATATTCACTTTTCAGCCCAGCATACCCGATATCATCAAATACTCGTCTGAGAAAAGTAAATAATCGAGGAATTATTTTCACCATTTGGCAATTTTTACAAATATCTTGCAGTGACTGTCTGGGCTCTAGTCATGTAGCCTGCTGCGACACCTTGACAGACATTTCAACACAGCAAGCTTGAACACGAGCACATATTGAGAAACACTGAATACGTGATAAGAACTTAGTTTATTACTTTAATGATGTTTCTCTCGATCACTGGTCCGCAGGTTTGTTGTCTAGAGCACTATCTAGATTCCAATACATTATACTTCCTATTGGTTATCGTGCAGAATTATAATGGCTAGTACCTCTCATGCTTGCACTTCAGTGCTCCCAGATCAGCATTCATAAACTTCACAGCTCAGCAGACATTCTCGCCTTCCTTTTTAAATTGTCATAGACTGATTAGCCAGGTTTCCTCAGGCTTTTGGCGTGAATACATTCACTTGTTTTTTCACAGGATACGTTCAGTTCCGGCATTCCAACCGCCACAGGACCCTATCGAAAACAAAACAGATTAGTCTCATTCACCCAAAACTCTTTGTCGTTCTCGTGCGCTTAAAACTCTACTCATGTTTTCACCATGTAAAATCTTCGCATGCTTCGGCCAACTTACACGTTTTTCTCGAGCTGGCATCCTGCACTCGATCTATTCATGCACACACAATAATTGAGAATGGATGCCACCCATCCAGACTCTCACATGTTATTTATGTTTAGTAGTTGTCCTAATTTTTAGGTAATGAGGGAATTTACCAAGGAATGAGACCATCAGTAATTGCAATACTGACTAAAAAATTACAATACTGAGGGGGAAAAAAATGATGTAAATCGGTTTCACCACTATACAATTGTATCTTCGCTAAAGATATGACAGGTTCTTTAGATGGATACTTAGTTTTCGACGTGTAAATTCTTTCATCTCTTAGCTACACTTTATTTCACTGAGCTGACACATCAATCAATCTATAATGTCTTTAGTCAAGCCTTCGTATGACTGAGACTAGTTCGATGAAATCTTCACCCCAAGCACTCCTAATTTAGTGTAGAAGACCAAAAACTGGCTCCACATGTATCTCCACATAGCCCTAAAGTATATTTCAGACAGAGCACCAACCCTGGCTCTCCTGGAAAAGTGTGGATTCAAAAAATTGACTCTGAAGCCAATGTGTGTCCCACCTTCGTTATTCTCCCTCATGGACACCGTCACAAAAGCTGGCCAAAGTGGGCATGACTATGTTTCCCGAACATGTAGACTGTACCAGATGGTTCGTAGGCTTAGTCATGGCTTTTGAATATACGGTCATGTAAATATCCTCCCCTCCCCCCCCCCCCCCCCCCCCCCACCACCAATTACCCCCCTTCTAGAGTACAAACATTTCAGTTTAATATATTAAAAAATACACGAATTTCCTAAACATTTCTGTGACCTATATAAGGGTATTCTAAAGTGTCATTATTATGTTGACATTCGTTATCAGCAAACATATCTTACAAATATAACATACAAATAACATCAGTCTCTCCCACATTAGTACATATATTTAATTTAATTGTTTTAATTTAATTTAATTCAGCAAATAGATCATTACGGTCCGAGAAGAATGGCGCTGAAAAGGGTTACCAGGGGATCTGGCAGACGCTCAACACTCAAGGGAAGTGCGAGACGGATTTACAGACAATTACTGATGACAACGGAATTAGAACTCTTCGTTTGCTGCTGAAGATGGGGACGGGTGCTTATGTTGGTGTCCAGAGTGCTACGATGTTGATTCTTAATTCAAAATTCTACCAAAATTAATGTCATGTTGTTATTCTTATAAACCTAACCTACTGTCGGGTGGATGACTGTCAGTACCTTTGATACGTTCAGTAGTAAACTGTGAACTAGGAGATTAACAACGCTCATCTGTATACTTGCGTCTATCGTAAGTAGTTGTGTTGATCAATGGTTGTCTGTAGGAACAGTAAATAATTTGTCTAACATAAATTTATTAAAATTGTTTAGACTGACATCCAGAGGTAAAAAATTTCGTATTGTATTTTTTGCGTTGGTCACCCCGAAATAACTCGCAGTTATTCCCTCATGTGCTAATGAGAACACTTGTGCTCTACATTTCTCAGGCAATACTATTTGCGTTATCAGTTGTGTTCTTTTTGATAACTCTTATCAAAACGATAAGGCCGTGAGAATCTTAGTTAGTATGGCCAGTCGCCTCTGGATTTCCGATATGCTTAACATGACGCCTGTTTCCTTTACTTCAGATGACAATTCCTACTACCAGTTTCACTCCTGGGTAATTAAAAAGATCCACCTCAAAGATGAATGGAACGAAATACCCTATGCTTCCCATAGCATTACATGGTAGCCATTGTATTCTATGTCGAGCTGGGAGCCAAGAAAAATTTCCATGTTCTAAATCAAGCAGCCTGGATTCAAATGTTAGAGTTTGGGTCTGCATGAGATTTCTTCTTCTTCTTCTTTGCGTTCACAGATTGTAGCTTCGGACTGAAAGTTCTGGTTATTTGTCAGCTTCTTGGCTTGAGGAAAGGGTTGTTTCGACCTCACTGGCAGATGTACACCTCTAAATGGTGTAATTTTACGACATGCTTGTTGGGTTGGGGGGGGGGGGGGGGGTTTGAATGTTTATTTTTCCTGCCTGATCGTACAGTTTTTTCATGCAGGTTCCTCAAAGCTGGAGCATATGACGTCATCGACGAGATCTGTCTTCATCAGTAAGTGAAACACTGGCCTCAATTTTCGCAATCAGTTATTTGTTCCTCATCATCATCATTGTAATGTGTCTCTTTCGCTGCTGCTTTCGTTAGTATTCAATGCTGTTATCTAGGGGTCAGACTGACAGGTTAGACAAGGCAGACTTCTCGTCCAGCAAACGAACACACGTCTCCCAATGACAGTCGACGATGCGACGATGAATATTGTCAGTTCCATGTCTTTTCAGTATCATTCAATATCATATAAGTGACAAGAATCAAAATTAGAACCTCACTCACGTCATCCAGGCAGGGTTCAATTGCTCGCACTTTGGGTACACAGCCAGGCCACAGTCGACGCTGACTTACACACAGTTGGCACAATCAACAGTCGGTAGGACACTTCCATTATTCTCAGCTATTCTTCAAAGTGATTTGTCACAACCATTTCACAGCTTGCTCTGCTTCTTATTCAGGATCAACGTTCACTTCGTTTCACTCGGATCCACTTTTGCTCAAATCTCTCTGGGGTTATGTCACAGAATGACTTTCGAGTCAGCTATTCCTCCAGACCTCATGTTCCCAGGTGATCTACACAATCTCGTGTTTTGCTATTCTCACGTCGACTTCATGTCTCTCTATGGAGGAACGTACACAATTCTGTCAACCACTCAATCCCCTTACGGTAGTACCTATTTTCAGCATCACTACAGTCATCACCATTTTTATCGTCATCTTCTTCTTCTTTTTTTTTCTTTTTTTTTCTTCTTCTTTTTTTTTTCTTCTTCTTCTTCTTCTTCTTCTTCTTCTTCTTCTTCTTCTTCTTCTTCTTCTTCTTCTTCTTCTTCTTCTTCTTCTTCTTCTTCTTCTTCTTCTTTTTCTTCTTCTTCTTTTTCGTCGTCGTCTGTTACCATGCATCAAAACTGGAGCATACACTCTCAACCATTTCACTTAATGTCGCCCGGTTATTTGCCATTTCTGTGCAACTTAGATTTTTTCCTCGTGACAGGAAACAAAAATCCCCATCCCTTACGGAGGATCGAACCCGAGTCCCCTGCATAAGAGCCGGCGTTAAAAGTATTCAATCAGTCTATCTTCTTTATAAATATTAAGGACCCTTTTCCACGTCTTCAGGCGTATTGGCATATAGGGGTAGACCTTCAATATATAGATTATTAGGCAATTGTTGGGTGGCGTGGTCACATCACGCAGGCCGTCATCACTTTCCAGGACTATTCCTGGTCCCCATTCAAGGCTGGGTCGACATAAGAGCCTGGGCTTTACAAAAAAAATCACTTTTGTATAGTCACAATCTGAACCCACGCCCTTCCGAACTGCTCTCTTGCCATTAGCTGCTACACCAATCAAAGGAGCTTGAGAATAGAACACACGCATATACAAGTAGCTATATAAGTAGTCCATATTAGACTTGAAGGTTCCTCAAATGTGTTGATAGCCAATAGGGAAAATATAAAGATGGGGTTATGAATGAGTGGTATTTGATGGGATTACATGGAGGAGGCTATTCTGGCACTCTGAGAGGCGCAATCCCTATAGGGTGCCGAACTTCTATGCATGGGGTATCTGTGGCCTCTCAGTTTGGGTTCTGTTAGGGCTGGAACAATTAAAAACGTAAACTCGGGATAACATCAAGAGGTAGACGGACAGTACCCTGAAAGTGTTACAATGAGGCGAAGAGGGAAGAGGCTGGAGATCTGTTACTGCCAACCTTCTTTAAGGAGACCTCACTTGACCGGCTATTTTAGAGACACGTGTCAGTTGCAGAGTAATAGCTGACAGGACTTTGGTTCAGTCATAGTTTTAGCGTTCTCGACCTTTTAGATATCATTGTTCAGTTCATTCACACATGCAAGCACACACACACACACACACACACACTCACACACACACACACATTACCAGTGTGTTTATATGTGTGTGTATAAATATGAATTCATTTATGAGCTAATCTAGCAGGATTCACTGACATATAGTTATTAGCACACTGCTTTACATACTTAGCTAGCCATATTCTTTCCAACATTAAGAAACTGAGTTAAAACAGTGACTATAGGTTGGTTATGTGTTCGAATTCGTATTTAGGTATCCTTTTTTCCTGTTCGACTCAGCCTAACTACTTGCCTGGAATCGTCCCGGAAAGGTTAATGCCTGTTGTAGTATTTTGACCACTCCACCAACAGAATGCTGACTGGTCTATAAACAGCGAGACAAGCACCGTATTTCATAGAAGCCTGTTGTATAAAAGTGACCACTCGACTGTGCTAGACAATCACTGCCCATAGGGGGTTGCGTGGTCTCAAAGCATGGCGTCCGCGTCGAGCGCTGAAGGTCACTTGTTCAAGCCCCGGTGAAGGCTGGGATTTGTTCACGTGGACTTCCAGTAATTTCCCCTGGTCGCTAGGTAGTAAGACAGGACACCCGTGTGTATTGTTAAAAGCACGTAAGAAAATCCCTTGGCAGTTGGAAATCGCAAAAAGAGTAGCCTTCTGGCGTTGCGCGGACAAAATTTGTAGTTCAAAATCTACCTAAAGTATTTCACGATCAACGCCGGTGGTACGGAGTTCGTGCGCTGTGCTAAGATTCTTTGGATTCACTCTTGAGTCATAAGTAGAAGGGAGCATTTTTAGGTTACTACCCTGTGCCATGATGTTGATCTGTCGTCTAAACCTTAACCTCGTTGTATCAATTGTATCACTGCCCATACTACAGCCTCTGTATTCAACAGCTACTACTTTGGAGGAAGTGGCGCAAAACTCGCGCAATATCTCAGCACTTCAACAATGGATAGCCTGAAGCTGTTGTACCAGGCAACCACACAGTTAACTAATGCCACCCCTCGACCTAGGCCCGTCCAGCTGACGGAAACAGCCGCAAGCTATGGAGGTGGTACCGGCGGCATTTCTGATGCTTACGCGGGTGGCTTCTTGTAAGTGTTTGACTTGTTGTTCATGGCTTCTTGTAAGTGTTTGATCTGTTGTTGTTCATTGCTTCTTGTAAGTGTTTGATCTGTTGTTGTTCATTGCTTCTTGTAAGTGTTTGATCTGTTGTTGTTCATTGCTTCTTGTGAGTGTTTGATCTGTTGTTGTTCATGGCTTCTTGTAAGGGTTTGCCCTGTTGTTGTCCATGGCTTCTTGTAAGTGTTTGATCTGTTGTTGTTCATGGCTTCTTGTAAGTGTTTGCCCTGTTGTTGTCCATGGCTTCTTGTGGGTGTTTAATGTCTTGTTGTTCATGGCTTCTTGTAAGTGTTTGAGCTGTTGTTGTTCATGGCTTCTTGTACGTGTTTAAGCTGTTGTTGTTCATGGCTTCTTGTAGATGTTTGAGCTTAGTTAGTTAGTTAGTTAGTTAGTTAGTTGGGTTATCGTCATTGCACTCCGGACATGTCCATAGGTGCTCAGATCCTCCCCTCAGTATGAACCCCAACGTCCGATGGCTAATAGTACCAGTTCTATGTTGATTAACAAGTCTTCTTACGTGTCCGGTGTGCGTCTCGTTTTTTGCTGTGCCGATCTTAATTCCCAAGTCTGCCATTCTGGCGAGTGATGTGGATTCACTGTCACCAAAGTCCTCTATCCTTCCCATTTCTCTGAGGGCATTGATAATATCAGCATGATCCATAGGCCGACCGTCGGTAGTGATAGCAGATCCAGCCAACCTGTCAGCTCTTTCATTTCCATCGACGCCTGCGTGTCCCGGAACAAAAATAAAGGTGACTCCACGCACAGTGGACTTCTGTAATGATTCAAGCCATTGTCTTCGCACTGAACCTGCCTGAACCCTCCGGATCATACTCATTGAATCACTGAGTATACATATGCGGGTGTATTTTTGTGATCCAAGCCAGGCAAACGCTTGCGTCACTGCCATCACCTCCATCGTCATGCTGCTGGTTGTCATGGAGAAGGCACCGTTGGCTTCTTTGACTGTTCTGCCCGCTGAGCGTGCTGTAAATGCCCATGCGCTTCTTCTTTGGCGTATAACGGATCCGTCTGTATAGATTAGTGCATCTGCTTCGTCTGAATTTTCACCGATGAGAGCGTTGACCTCTGCATTAACAGCAACAGGATTCTCTTCTCTACATCGCCTGTTGAGTGTGACAATACAGGAAAATGTACAAATAAACGCCTGAGGCACAGGTATCCATTCTGCACCAGGTATGATGTCGGTTAGGCTGCATATTTGCCTAATAACATCTTCTGCCCGACCTAGCCACGATTTTCCCCTCTTCAGTCTGTCGCCCTTTTCACTAAAAAGCGCTTGATGCAGTGGGTGTTTCTTATCAGCACATATTTTGAGGTATGCCCGAGCCCTCCACATCCTGATCCTTTGGTTCATTGTTGGAAAGTCAAGTAGATACCTCATTGCTTCACAGGATGTTTGAGCTGTTGTTGTTCATGGCTTCTTGTAAGTGTTCGACTTGGTGTTATGCATAGCTTCTTTAAAGTGTTTGACCTGTAATTATTCATGGTTTCTTGTAAGTTGTTGACCTATAGGTGTTTTTTGGCTTCTTGTAAGTGTTTGACCTGTTGCTGTTCAAAGCTGCTTGTAAGTGTTTGACCTGTTGCTGTTTATTCTAAGCGGTATCCTTTTTGGTTTGGTCGTCCCGTCTCATTGATACCAGGTTGTGGCCATTTGTCTTGGTTTTTCTGAATATCTCTTGAGCTTCCTGAGTGGTGAATTTGTTCATCATTGTGCAGGTCCTAGGTGCATCATGTATCCATTGCTTTCTTGTTCTTAGCCTCGCGTTCCTCTCCGATGTGCAGCTGTAGAAGGTCTCATAGGCATTTTGGTCAGGCTTCATTCTCTCTAGACTGCCAAACTAGTTCATTCTTTGTCTGTCAATATAATCGAGATATGATTCTATTCCAACTGTCTCTCTAATGCTGGTATTCATTACTCTGTCCCTTCTAGGTTTGTTAGCGACCTGTTTTTACAACAGTGGTGTTATTCAAAGCGTGTATATGTATATGCATATGTATATATATATATATATATATATATATATATATATATATATATATATATATATATATATACTTACACACACACAAACACGCACACATACATAAGAGCTATATTTTAATAATATCCGACCAAACATAGGGAGTCACTAGTATTCCGAAGCATTGCTAATATTGAAATAGAAGTAGAAGATGCCACATGAAGAAATAAAAATCTCCAGGACGAGAAAACATTACTATTGAAGAAATATAAGAACATCGTTCAACAATAATAGCAACATACATACCTAATAATCTTTTTCCTAACTCTGTTCTTACATTTACCAAACTACCGGGTGCAGTGGATTGTAGAGAACATAAGGCATTCAGGTTAAAGAGTCATATAATGAAAATATTGTTGAGAAATACGAGAAGAAAAAGATGCAAGTAGGCCAGCAACTGGAGAAGAGCAGTGTGGTTTTGTTGAAGGTAAGAACTCAGAAAACCTCATATTGATCTCGGAAATACTCACTTAAAAAAGTATTCATGTGAGCAGATGTATTTATCTGTGCTTTGATAAAAATAGTGATTACAATATTATAATTAGTGTTTAGACTACAGCACTTGATAAAGTGATACATAAAGAAAATATTGGAATTTATGAAACTATACATATTGAATATCTGAAAAAAGTAAAGAATACAATTTGGCAACAAAAATCAGTTATAGAAATTTCCAACCAAGTTGTAACTTTTCATAAAATTTAAAAGGCCTACTACATGGATATGTACTATCATTTGATTTGGTCAGTTTGTACAAGGCAGTAATAATTAAGATCCATGCCAGGAGTATAAATTGGTCAGCATATTGTTAACAGTCTGCGATATGCTGATGATCGCTGAAAAGAAAGCACAACTGCAAGAAATATTGGACATAATTGTAACTGAAAGTCAAACATGGGTCCTACTTAGTCTCAACAGCAGAAAAAAAAAAGAAATAATGCTAATTACAAAGAAAATATACCCGTACAATTGGTGCATCAATGTTGGTGGATTATCAGTCAAGCAAGTTGACATATTTAAATACTTGGGGACCCTTATACCAGCAAATGGAAGTTGAATGTAGAATAGCTCAAGCAAAGGAAGCATTTTACCAAATGAGGAATAATCCATATATTGGTTCTTTGTTAATGGAAACGAGAAACATAATTCTCAAGAGCTTTATAAATCCTATTCTGATATAATGCAGTGAATCAAGGACAGTTGGACGATGAGTGAAAATATATTTTGGAAGAGGCGGGGATGGGATTTCACAGGCCAAAGATGATAATACACTGGGCATATAACAAATAGTAATGAAGATTTCTTGAAAGAAACTGACTCATAAAGAAAAATGATTGTCCACATCAGAGATAACAAACTACTTTCTTTACATCAACATCTTTATGTTAGTCGAGTTGAGTCAAATCAAGAATTGACATCACAGCACTCGAGGCATTCCCATGCATGCTTTGTCCCTATCTTCAGCAGCCAGTGTAGAGTTCCAATACTAATAATACCGGTCGTAATCTGCTTATATGTCTGTCTTGCCTTTCCTCTGATTGTAGTGAGCCGGCCAGATTCTCTCTTTTTGTTATTCATTGCTCATAGTTTATATATCTACAGCAATAGCAACCGACCCACAAAGCATGCCGGGAAAGGTGGCATGCTCTGTGCAAAATGGCAAGCATCGTTTCAGAGGTTCCCGGTAGTTAGCCTACTTTCTAGATTTTCTCCGAGGTATGCTGAAGTGCTAGGAAATGATCAGGCGAGAACAATTTAAGGTTTCCCCACACTGGGTGGTCAGACGATGCTTGGCAAGCTAGATGTGAACAGGAGAACCCGTTGACATCAAGTGAACAATGTGGGGGCGCGAAAATATCACTATTGCCTGGAGATAATGGTTCAGCTAGGAGTGCCAAGTATGATAACCAAGAGAAGATGGACATGGCTTGACCACGTTATGAAAATGAATCCTGATATGCCTGCCAAGGAAGCTCTCACATGGATACCAGAGGAAAAGAGAAACAAAACAGGCGCCCAAAAACAGCATTGAGATGAACGATGGAGAGTGACCTCATTGCAGCATCTCCGACATGTAAAACTGCACTGAAGATTGCACAGGACAGGAGAGCATGGAAAGTCCTTTCTGAAGCCTCACGTGCCACTAGGCATAAAGAGAATTGATAGGGGTACCAAGAGATCGGCTAGGCAGTCTACGCGCAAAAGAAAGGTAGGACTGATATAATAAACCTGCTTTTAGCATCAGCAGAACTGGAACTCTTCTCTGGCAGCTGAAGATGAGTCGCCTATAGCAATTTCCTGAAGGTTTTGATGTAAGTTTTAAGCTCAGTTCAGCACCTCAATTCCTACAAATAATAGCAGATCAATGTAACGTAAGCTACAATCGAGGAAAGTGTTCTGTTGAGTTGAAAATATTGGAAAAACTGAATTGTCTGTGATAGATTGTTGTGTAGTGTGGCCTGATTAAGGCATACAGGCCTGCTGTCTGTCTTCCTACAGCTATGTAGTCACAGTGTCTGCTGTTCAGTAAAGGAGGTTACATCACCACAATGAGTTTACTGCAAAACATCTTCAAATCTAACTCACTCTCTCACATTCTCTTGTACACACACACACACACACTCTCTCTCTCTCTCTCTCTCTCTCTCTCTCTCTCTCTCTCTCTCTCTCTGACACTACACCCTCTCAGATGTACACCCATCACTTGGTATTATCCTCCTACTTGTGTTGCAGTCTGCCTCTTCCTCGCCTGCTCCTATACTCTACTCCTCCAATACGGTTTTCATAAGAGTGTCATAGCTGATAATGGGGTGGAAGCATATGATGTCTCCTTGTTCTTATCTCGGTGCTAACTCAACAATGAAAGCTTCTTGTAATGAATCTCCTGCCGGCCTAGCCTCACCTTCTGGTTGAAACCTTTCTCAAACTGCTCCTTGTCCAATCCCAGCATTTATTTTTCTGATCAAATTATTCTGATTCCCAAACAATGCGGTTTATGTTTCTTATATCCCAATTTGTGTAGACTACATTAGACTGTATACCTCTCGCTCTCCTCAAACTGACATTAAAATATCTTTAAAGTGTCCACATAGTTTATCACTAATCCTTTTTCTTCTAATCTAATCTGTTATTTCTGTTGAACGTAGTCTAGATTACTCACTAATGTTTTACTTGTTGCACACTCCAACCCCATGTCCCACACCCTTATTGATCAAACTCCCACCCCAACAGGTGGTTGGATAAACTGGGACTGTCCGCCAAGATGAAAGCTACAAGAATATATCGCCAGGCATTAATAGGTGCATCATATGGACTCGTGACTTCTTCATTTGATCCTAACCCTGTAAGTACTCATACGTTTTATATAGATGGATAACTGACTGAGTTTAGCATTCTAGGACTAGTTGGGATATCCCTAATCTCTCAAGACACAGTCTAGTAGCTAGTTTAACTGTTACTGATGCGCTCATTATAACTTCCTTTAGTTTGAACTGGGTATGTTGGAGTTTACTTGTTGGTATTGAATACATGATGCCATTTATGAAATATCTTCAAGTCGCAACCACGAGGGGGAAAAATACAAAAGTTGCAGATTCTTTGTAGGTCATCGTTTTATCACGGCCCTGTGTTCCATGTTTATTTCACCGTTCTGTAAACTGTATAAACATATTATATATACAAACATATATAGGTTGCCGTCCTGTAATAAAGGACACCGGTTACTTGCACGTTTGCTTTGTAAATTTGATGAAATAATTATTTATTACAGGACTACTACCTGTCTCTGCTCTTCAAAACGCTGGTGGAGGGACCTGTTTTTGACGTCACTGTGGGGACCAAGAACGACAAGCTGCGACTGTATGCCAACTGTGCCAGTAACAGGAGGTAACATTTATATACATCATATATATGAACTCATAGTCTTCATTAAACCATCAATGCAGCATTAATAGTTTAAAACGTGAGTAAATTACGACAACATAAACACATTTACAGTACAGAAAATATCTATCCTTCCGTATACTGACCTGTTTCATGGTTACATGTATGCCGATAAGATTTGACAAACTCACATCACAATAACAAAGTTAAATAAACGATACTTACTGCAACACAGTCTGACATATTCTAACACAACATGTAGTTTAGGAATAGAGGTGGAGGCAGTCATCGTAGTATTTAACGGCCTTAACAACCAGCTGCACACACATACACACCCACACACACACATATACACACACGCACGCGCATATACACACTCACACACAACACACCATGAGAGTAACAGGCTCACAAATGCCTGCTTAAAAATTGCAGAGGCAGGTACACAGTGGCAAGCATCGCGTCTGAGGTCCTTAGTTGTTCCCGTCCTATTTAAATATTTTCTCCATGCAAATAGTATTTTTAGGAAACGAACAGTTGGGCAAACCGGCTGAATATGCGTTTGATGGCAAATAATGCGTAACAAGAGAGCTGTTACCGAGACTTTTTCGAAGCCTGTGAAACTAAACTGGATCATCAAGTCTGAAGAAAATGGTCCTGCAGTAAGTGACCAGGGGTTCTGGACGCTATGCGTGGCCCAGGGGAAAATACAAGACGGACACGCAATTAGACTGCTGCTAGTACAACCCGAAATGGAACTCTGCGTTTGTTGTCCAATACAAGAAACAATCTTTTATGTGAATTCCGAGAGCTATGGTGCAGTTCCTCTCTGATACAGCTAGAATCGTCATTTAATTCTTCTTCTTCTTCTTGTTCTTCTTCTTCAGCGTTCCTAGCTATTAAGGTTCATTGCTGCAGATATCACTGGCCCATATTCATCTCTACATTTGTTTTTTAATTGCGCTATTTTACCTAGATTTATAACAACCACTACAGTTTATTGTAGTTAGAAATGTAGACATTCCAGTGCTGGTACTGAATAGTTTCATGCTTTTGATAATGTTTATTACTTGATGTGAGAATGAAATTATCTAAGAATGGAGGGCAGTTCTCACCTGTGTGTCACCTGATATTCTCTCAATATGCCCAAGCCGTTTCAGTCTATGAATCATCCAATGGTCACTGGTGATTTTAGCATATTATGAATTTCGTTGTTGCTTCTGACTCTCCATTCCCCGCTATTTTTATCTTTGATGTGTCCAAAGATTCGTCGTAGGACTCTGTTTCATTAATTTGTAATAGGGTTTCATCTCTTTTAGCTGTGCTCTAGGCTTCAGAGCCATACTAAACGACTGGTCTTATCAATGCTTTTTTTTTTATTATTACTGTGATCTTGGTGTTGCGATAGAGACTTTGACTTTAGCAGATTTTTAAGGGCATAGTAAATGTTATTTTCATATTTTGTTATACATTGTATTTCTTTTTTCAGCATGTTGGAGCAGTTGAAGTTTACACACAAATACTCTTTTGTTTTTGATCGTTTGATTTTCATTGTATCAAATTGTATGTGGTCGGAGCTTCTATGCTTTTCCAGTCTTGTTATTATCATGTATACTGTCTTATCTTGATTAATAACTAGTCCTATTTTCTGAGCTGATTCTTTAAAAAGATTCAGAAACAGTCTCTACTTCGTTTCTGCAACAATACCAGTGTCATCTGTACAACCGAGTAGTATTGTCGTTTCTCCTATAGTACAATGTTCCTTCAATTTCCTTATAATTTTCTACAGGGTTTAGTTAAAATGAAGTAGAGATAGATCATCACCTTGCTATGCAACACATGTTATTTTCTACCATAACATGTTAATATAATAAAAGTGTCTTTCAAACATAGTTGAGTCATAGTGATTAACTTCTTTGGTAGCATTAAATAAACTGCTGCTATGTACACTATAATGTTTCTTTTTAATATCCTCATACAAATTATGTGCATCCCTTCCATGTTTCAAATTTTGCTCTGCTTTTTGCCGTAAAATGACTATCTGATCGTTTGTTAATCTTTTCTATCGAAGACCTGATTGGTAATCAGCCACTACATCTTCAACGTTTGGTTTTGCAATCTACAAACTACAAAGTGGCTAAACTAAAAGGTCTGAAAAATAGTATGCATGAAAATAACTACAACTACACACATCCACATCGGTGTGATCCGCAACACGTCTTTTCCACAGATACAGCCCAGGAGCTTTGGTCGTCTACTATCTGAACGTGGCAGACACAGATGCTGTCCTGTCCCTGTCCCAGTTTCCCGACGCTAACCTTGACCTCTACATGCTATCAGGTGGGGATGAGGGACTGCTATCCAGGTAATTTAAAATGTCTAATTACTTTTGATCAAATAACACTGTCTCTTACGCTAGCTGATTTCAACCTTTACCACAGAAATGCCCGACCACCGCCTGTCTTTGTGTACTTGCCAGATGAAAATGTTAATGGTGATTGACAGTGTAAAGTTAACACTATTTTCGAACTTTTACTAGGCAATAGGGATTACTATTTAATTATGTCCTTTTTTTTTATGTAATGGTATTTGTTATATTTATAATGCTGATTATATCATCAACAATAATTGAGGTGGCAAACGAATCCTTGTTTTGCAATTTCTCTCATTTCACATGTTTCTGTTTGAAAGTTTTCCTTTGCGCAGTACTTTTCTATGACGTATTTTTAAAAACAAATTTAATCAGTAATTTTATGCATGAACACCTCTTCTTTTTTTGTCAGCATTCAGAGCCCTTAAGGTCCATTGCTGCAGATATCACCCTACTCCACTCATCTCTCTGGTTAACCTACCCTTTCCAGTTGGTGATTCTACGTGTTTATAGGCCTGTTTATAAATTATCCCCGCATCGTCTTCTCGGCGTACCCCGTGGTCTACGACCATTCAGGTCCTTTGTGTATATCGTGTTTACCTCTCTGTCGCCTAACATTCTCTCAGTATGCCCAATCCATTTGTTTGTCAGCCATCATGATGCCAGTGATCAATGGTGATTTATCCAGATTATGAATTTTGTTGTTGCTTCTCATTTCCATTCCCCGATGTTTGCATCTTTGGTGGGTCTAATGATTCGTCGTAAGACTCTGTGACTCTGCTTTTAAAAATGTACAATAACGCTTCATCTCCTTTAGCTGTGCTCCAAGTTTCAGAGCCAAATAAAACAACTGGTCTTATCCACGTTTTAAATATTCTGATCTTTGTTTTGCGAGATAGAGACTTTGACCTTAACATGGGCACTGTATACTTTATTTACAGATTATATTGTAGATTAATAAACAAGCCGAACATTATTTAGAGGCCGCGGAGATGTGATTTTCTTCTTCTTCTTCACTTCCTCTTTTACCGCTGTGGGTGTCGAGGGAGATATAAGGTTCTGTTTCTAGCTCTTCTGGCTGCCTCGACCATAGGCACATCGTGCTGTTGTAGAGTTTCTCTGATGTTATACTTTCATCTTGTTCTTGGTCTAACTCTTGCTCTACGTCCTTGTTCTCTTTCCGTGTATGCTTTGTATGATATGCCGTCACAAGGCATTCTCTCTAAGTGGGCACACCATTTCACTTGCTGTCTTTGCATGTAATTTAGAATTGGTTCTGTGCCGACTTTTTCTCCTATGGTCTCATTCCTGATCTTATCTGTTATGGTCACACCTACAGCCCTTCTCAGACATCTCATTTCCGTGGTTACTAAATTTCTTTTATGGTTTGTTGTGGTAGCACAGAGTTGGAATAAATATGCTTTGAATAAGATGTCTCTTTGTGCTGATTGGGATTGTCTTATGCTGTAAGAGGGGAGCTAGCTGTCCCAATACTTGATTTGCTTTACTGCATCTAATGTTAATTTCTTTATCCAATTTCCCATCTTCGGTAAAAGTAGTTCCCAGATATTTAAACTCAGATGCCTGTTTAATGCCTTTGTACTCTATTGCTATGTTTAGATCTGTCTTCTTTTTTCCTATCGACATTACTTCTGTCTTTTCAGTGTTGATTCGCATATTATTTGTTTTACATTCTTCATTTATGGATTTTGTTGCAATTTCATGGCTGTATCTGCTATGAAGTCCTGGTCATCTGCAAAGATTGATTTGTTGATCTTACTAAGATCTTCATTTATGGGCTTGGCATTCTTGCATATAGTGTCGATGTAGGTGATAAACAGCAGTGGTGATAAGACACACCCCTGTCTTACTCCAGATGTTACTGTGAATGGATGAGATGTTCCCTGATTTATTCCAACTACACTTCTGCAATCTCTGTATAAACAGGGTGATGTGGTTTTACAGAAGAAAAAAATTCCTTGGACAGCTAAGAAGAGCAACCCAGGTATTTTGAAAGGAGCGAATAGTCGGAAAAAAAAAAACGTATCACAAACATTAGAAAGAGACTGTCATCCTTTTTTGGTCACGTTGAGAGAATGGGAAAAACAGAACATGCTTTTACCACTAGAAAGATCAGTGGAAATGAGAAGGAGAAAGACAGCGTGAATCAATTCTTGACAGTCTTTTGTGAAGGTATGAAGTGGTGTCAACACGAGTACTGATACATGCAGTTGCAGATTGTGAAGAGGCATAGGCGCCCACGTTAGTCGGCAAAACACTTGTTGACGACTGTAGATAGTATTATTTTCTCTCAGTATGTAAAAGCAGTTCGAAGTTTGCACACAAGTACTTATATGTATCTGCTCGTTTAATTTTTCATATTTTCGCCATGTATGTGGCTGGAGTTTATATCACTTCCCTATTTTGCTATTATCATGTGTTATTTTTTTTTTTTTTTTTTTTTTTTTTTTTTTTTTTTGTTTTGTTTTGTTTTGTTGTTGCTCATCTTTTTTTGTGGGTTGCTTCTTTTAAGAGAATTTTAGATGTTTTTACATTACCTACTTTATTTTTCTCTAACAATATTATTGTCATCTGCATAGCCAAGCATTCTTGTTTCCTGTTACCATATTGCCTGTTTAATCACACCAGTTTATGTCTAAAAAATCACCATGAATGTCTAATATACTTTAATTTATTGTTATTTCAATATATATATATATATATATATATATATATATGTGTGTGTGTGTGTGTGTGTGTGTGTGGCAGTACTGATCCTTTCATAGCTTAGATGTTTTCTGTATTCATGTCTCTTTAATTCGAAATATTATATGTCACGATACAACCAATGCGTTTTCTGCAGGACTGTTTTAGCTTTGTCATGTGTCAGGAAAAACAATTCAGCTCAAAATGAAGTCTGTTCAAACCCCAGAAAAAATGTCTTACTATTAGAGATGTTTATAAGAAAATGTAAGTTACAGTGCTAACATTTATTTATAATTCCAAAGACAATTCATGTAAATTACAAAAAGGACTTGATTAATCATTATAAAAGAGTACAGTATACTCTCCATTATTTTGGTTGTAATTGTACAACATTGTTTCCTTTATTGTATTCTAAGTTAGACCCTAGGTAATAGTTACAGTCTAGCCACTGTGGCCCCATGTTGTATAAGCGGACGTTTGAATTTCATGTGTTCTCTAAAGATGATGTTTCTTGTACCGGCAGATCCGTGAAATTGAACGGCAACAAGCTAGTCCTGACCGGCAACGAGCTGCCCCCACTGACGGCCAAAGCCCACACAGGTGACGTCACTGTTGAAGCCCAGACGTTTGGCTTTATAGTTGTCCCTACAGCCGGTGTAGAATTCTGCGTGAACTACTTCGATAAGCTGGATTCCAGCAGCTAGGACAAATAAGTCAAGAAATCATGCACATTACAGCTGTCATCTGTACACTATGTACTAGGTGTGAATTTAATAAAAGATACGTTAGGTACACATAAGCTGGAGAATGTGCATACTCTGTCGTGAATACTACGTGTCTGTTGGACATGACAACATCGGTGTAGAATGTAGATAGCAAACAATAATAATTGCTATTATTATTATTATTATTGTGTGATGTGAGGTAGCAAATATATTAATTGTGTGGATACAGAATACAATAAATTATTGTGTTTATATGTAATAATTGCTGCAATTATAACTGGTTTAAAATTTTAAAAGTATATACTGCTGCTTGTGAATGATATTGGCAAATATTTAATTAAAATTTTAGCATCATGGATGCTGTATATGTTGAATATAGCACGGGGCTGAATTGGAAGTTATTAAGGTTCAAATAGCACCGTAATCTGTCCAGTGTTCAAACCAAAATTGTATACTATAAGATTGTTACGGGCACTCTGGTTAGTAAATACTTTAAATACATTTGCATTCGTTGCTAGTGTCCTCCAGTGCTTGCGCTGTCTAGAAAGGTCACAGAAGATAGAGAAAAACGAGCCTGCCAAAATACAGAAGATGTCAAGAAAATCTTAGTTCATATAGAAAACACGAGGCAATGCGAATTCAAACAATAATAAAGCGCCCACAGTTTGTTTGGTATAAGCGTGTTATCCATCATTCTCTTCGTCAAATAATTAAGTTCAAACATAAACAGGACGGAAAGAATCTCCACAGGTATCAATATAGAAAACTAGCTAAGCTATAAATGATTATTGTTTAAAATAAGAAACAACAAAGACACTAGTTCTAATGTATGCAACATGCCTTATGTACCACCATGGTACCAAGCTTCTTTACCAGGACAAACGTTTCTGACCAGCCAGTTTACTTTGTTTTTCACATTACGAAACTGTAACGGTTTTTTTATCTTTATGACGGCGAAACATCACAAGTTTGCGATAATTACATTCTTACAATAATTATTTTCCTTTATGTCCATTAATGTTTTCCCACGTGGCATTTTATCTTATAGAAACTTTAGAGTACAATTAAATAAAACACATGAAAATGACCAATTATTTCGAAGATTTGTTGTTTTTAGACTTCTGCTTTCACAGAACAGTAAATTTAGAAATATTTGTTGATACGCAACTCAGCATGCTAATAGTGTTTCGATGCACCTACACTGTAATAATTCCTCAATTAGTCGCCAGTTGCTGGTGAAGTGCCAGCAGGTCTATTCTGTTTCCACTGATAGGGATCATGAACGTGAGCTTGCTGGCGTGCTGTAGTAATCAATATCGAATCCCTAGAGGCGTTATCTGATCTCATCAGAAAATTCACAAATTAGCATGGCAACAGATTGTGTGCCTAAAAATTAGAAGGGCCATACTAGTGTTAACAACAAGTAGAGACGCTTGTTTGTCCAAATATTTACAAGAGCAACTTTAATTACCCCCCCCCCCCCCCACTCAATACAACTATGAATACTCATATACTTAAAAAAAAAAAAAAAAAAAAAGACCTGTCAGCGAAACAAGGAGAACATGCAGCTATGAGTGGAAGAAGGAAGCTAATCTCTAACAGCGATTCCCAACTACTTTAACTCACGAAGCCTTGTCTCCAGAAGCTGAAATATCACCAACAGAAACAATCCAACATCGGGTTTAAAAAACAATTTTTTGCACATGTACCAGCTGCTCAAACTGTCTGGAAACAATCAGGGGATTTACCATTGAGGAAAAACAAAGGAACTAAACAAGAATCCAGTCAATACCTAAACATCACTCTTTTTTAAAGTCATGTTTGCAAACTGAATGCCACGATAATTGACAGGAGTCTGAGACCATGATAGATATCTGGTATTTCTAGTTTCAGCTTCATAGCAAACGAGTCACCCCGTAGGTGCTCTGCTCCTGTGCCAACAAATAACACACGTAGCTCACAGTGTCAAGCCATGCACTCAACTCAGAAGCTAGGCGACGAAACTATTTCCTTCCAATCTACAAATGGAGCAAAAATGCAACGGCCACCGCCTGGCAGAAGCAAAAAAAAAAAAAAAAACATTTGCCACGGCTAATAAAAAAAAGTGGCCGTGCCTAGCGTCCATTTTGACCTTAAACATTATGTGGGGGTTAATAAATAATCACCCCAGCAGTACCCTCACTATTAGCTGGGGAAGGGACTTAGGACATTGCATCCACCAGGAGGCGTCGCCCCTTCAATGGTCTGAATGCCTTCGTTAACGACGGTTCATCCAACAGCCATGCAGTTCTTTAGCACGAAGGAGACACCTTGAACTTGGGTTTCGGAATGCCGACTTTCTACAAGATGTTATTTTATGTTTTGTTATCATAATCGACGCCACTGCACATTGGGCATACCCATGCGTGGGCAGTCCTCCGAAGCAGCAGCCACTATAAAGTACTTCTACTAAAGGTCCCCAAGAGAAGCTGGTTATTTTGTCTCCTTTCTCGGCCTCGAAGACGGCAAAGACGTGCTTCACCATGCTTAACTCCCACGTCACGCAATCGTGTTAGTGTCAGGGATTCCTCATTATCCACTATCCCAGACCATACAGCGGTGACAATATCTGCCCTGTCCATGCTTTTTCCTGCAATCATTAGTTCAGTGCTTGCCAGGTGGTCCGCTCGCTCATTTCCCATTACGCCGGCATAACCCGGTGTGTAGATCAAGGTTGCATAGGTTAAGTGCGATTTCCGAATGCTTTCTATCCATTCAGAGCGCATACTGCCTGTTGCTATCTTCTGAAGTATATACAATCACTGCCTGTGTGGCGGTTGCTAAAGCTCTAGAAGCAGCGGCTATTTCCATGGTTATGCTTGACTTGGTTGTCTGGTAAGCGCCGCTGTCCTTGTGATAGATATGGTTATTAGAAGAACTGACAGGATTAAGAAAAAAATAGAAGTTGCATTGATGCAGCTTTAATACTTAAATAGTCAATGGAAAAAAGCACCGAATGCCATACGAACGTCTTTGTTAAATCCATGGACTATAAGAACGTATTTAATAGAGTCGATAGAATAGAAAAGCATTTCTGAAATAATCGCACCGTACGGAACAAGCAAGCACCTGGTTGAATGTTGCATGGTGCATTAAAAATCGACATCACATCACTCGGGACACTCCCATAAGTGCTCAGCCCCTATCTTCAGCAGCAATCGAAGAGTTTAAATTATGATGGTACCAGTAACCGTCTAATTGTAAATCCGTCTCACCCTTCCTATAAGTGTTGAGCGTCGACCAGATCATCTGCTAACACCAGCGCCATTTTCCTTAGACCGTAATGATCTAAATGCGCCGCCGCACTGTTTGCTCGCTCCCAAAATCTAACTTGTCATACGTCAATTAACCAACAAGTGGTGCAGAGCCAGCCAGTCTATCTGTCTGCTTATTTTCCAACACACCGAGATGACCTGGAGAAAATATGCAAAGTATGCTATCTACCCTGGACCTCTGAAGTGATGCTTGTCACTCTGCCCGAAGCTTACCTGTTTTCACCTTTCTCAACATGCTCTGTGAGTCAGTTACAGTTACGGCATGTGTGTACAGCTGATTCTCAAGCCAGCGGAAGGCCGCAGAGACTGTCCCCAACTCCATTTTTAAGCTAGACGTTGTGATTTCATATGCAACGCTTTGCTGTACTAGGCGACGTCCATTCGCCTTTGCATTTAAACCCGATGCATTTCGCCTGCCCTTTAACACAGAGCAATATGTAACGATAATCACACAACTTGATCGGGAATCGTCATGTACCATTTGTTGAACCATCTTGCTAGTCTCTGCGCTCACGACCTAACGTATTCAGAACCCTACACAAGATTGAAACTTGTTCACACACCTTGACCCACTCCTCTCGTTGATCCAAATTATCAAGCCTGCACACATGTCTGATTGTGTCTCCAGGTTGCACCATCCAAGACCTTTCGTCTTTTAAGTATGTGACCCTTAGCTCTACACAAGGCTTTATGCAAGAGGTGCTACTCTGAGATATTACTTTGCCTGCAGAACTTTGAGCCGTCTGCAGTAGTAGGCAGTGCAAATATATATTGCATACGTACTACTGGGGTATCTCCTGTACATCCCAGAATTACCCGCAGGGATTCATTCTGTATGGGTTCAAGTTTTATCAGCTGACTCTTTGATATGGTAAGCATGCCAAGTCCATATTCTATCACCGACAGGATCACATGCTGGAGCATTGTAAACATTATTATTTGGTCTATGTCCATTGCTGCCATAATCTTGAGAGCATTGAGTCATTTTTGGCATTTCTCAACTGGCTCCAGGTGATCCATGAAGGACGGGCTTATATCGAAAATAATACACAGGCACTAATACTAGTATTAGTCAGATTATCTCTAACTAAATTTCTACGCTCCCTATCATTATGATCAGTCTGGGCTATAAATCTGTTAAAAAACGCTTCCATTTTCTCTTTGTTTGTTATCATTGGCACATCAGTGTTTATAAGCCATGGTTTGATAGGCCGATCGTTCTTTTGCATCTGTCTGTGCAATTTCCAGAACTTACCTAGTATTTTATTATAGCCCTGGGTCTCTCTGATCCTGGTGTATTCCGGTGCACAATAATTTGGCCATATTCGCTTATAGTTCATCCACGTGGCTAAGGACGCTAAGGACTGTGACTTATCCGGGTTGCACAAAATCAAACAGTTAATAATTACACAGTATCTAGCACAAAAATTAACTTTTCTGCGGCATCCAGCGGTGAAACACATTGCCGTCATGTGTTTGAACTGGTAAGAGGTTTTATTTGAGCGATGAACACATCTGCATAATGCACAATTGTCGCCTTGATTTATTCATGGTTGCGAGTTGTATTGAGCAAAAGTTGATATAAGGACTGAAGAAGCGTAGATGTCGCTAAATGTGAATGAGAAATAGAAGATAGAAACATCATGAAACATGTAGAGTATTAAC